ATAATTATTGAAGCAGCTTTTAAAATTTTCATGTTCACCTTGAAGTATTGTCCTGTTGGTGCTATTTTCACCTTAATAAAGCAGAATGACCATAACTATTAATAGTAGCGACAGTAATAGCTTAGGGGTCTATATTATGATTCTAACAGTTTTACAAATTTTTAAAAGACCTTAGTTTTAGTGGAATAAGAATATGACATAAAATTCTAATATTATTATTTTTATTTCTGGATACTCATCAGGATTATCTTGTTAGATGTATTTCATTTCATTACAATTTTACAGCATAAAAAACTGGCATGTGTATATGTTTAAATACATTTTAACATGTCTCCAGTTTTGTTTTTTGGTCTGGATCTATCTTTACTGAACATCTGTATTTTTCTTTAACTGTATGAGTCAAATCTTCAAGTTCTGTGTTAGTTGCAGTTAATACAGCTTAGCTTAGCACATGTGTTACAATTCGGCATTGATGGTTGCATCCCTGCCCTAGTTCCTGTGAGTGGTAGCTTCACGGCTGAAGTTTCAGGGAGCTATGTTTACAGCTGAAACTCTGGGAAGTTGTGGAGTCCATCTTGACAAGGAGTGGTTAACTGTTCACTGCTCCAAAACACCATTTATTTCTTTGTCTCTATGACCTCTTAAAACTGCCATTCTATTTAGGTCACAGCCTAATGGAGTCATTTCTCCATTTGCTTCAGGCCTTGAGCTTATGCAATCAAAGGCAAGTTCACAGGAAGCCTCTTCTGATTTTGTTTTGGGGAATTAGAATAGATTTTAAAACAAGTTTATGTCTTCTGTGGGATAATCAAGAGCATATAGTGATGACTATTCATAGTTTTTACTGTATATAAGGAGGGGTTGTGCCTGTGACCTAGATTTTGTCACTGATTCAACTCCCAATTTCATGTGCAAAGTAAGATTCTGTCCTATGTTATACTGAGGAAGCAATGATTAAAAAAATTAATGATTTTACCATATGAAGCTTGAAGACAAATATTGTTCTACCTAATATTTGGATTATATACATCATCTGTCTTGTCAAAAACTGTTTCTTTTTACTCCAACATTTTATTTAATTATAAACAGGATTGTTTTACATGTCAATCCCAATTCCTTCGCCCTCCACTGCTCTGCTGCCCCCTCACTATCATGCTACCTATCCCACAACCATTATGCTAACACAGGGAGTATGAGGCCTTTCATGGGGGTTCTTCAGAGTCTCTCATGTTCTTTGGGATGGGGCCAATGCCCTTCACTGTGTATCTAGACTCGTGGAGTATCCATCTATCTGTAATGTGTTCTGAAAATTCATTCCTATGAAAGGAATACATAGTGATATACTACAAGAGGCTGCACAGGTTCCAGGGCCTCCTCATTGACACCCACATTCAGGGGGTCTGGATCAGTCCTATGCTTGTTTCTCAACTATCAGTCTAGGGACAAAGAACTCCCCCTTGTTCAGGTCAGCTGTTTCTGTGTGTTTCACTGGCCTGGTATTGACACTTTGATCATCACTCCTCCCTCTCTGCAACTAGATTCTAGTTGAGTTCAGTGTTTACCTGTGGGTGTCTGCTTCTACTTACATTAGATGCCGGATGAAGGCTCTAGGATGGCATATAACTTAGTCATCATTCGCTGTATCAAGGGATGGCATATAAGGTACCTTCTCCACTGTTGCTTAGATTGATAGTTGGTGTCATCCTTGTACATCTCTGGATATTTCCCTCATGTGTGATTTCTATTTAAACATATAATGGTTCCCTCTATCATGCTGTTATCTTACTCTCTTCTATTCTTCCACTGACTCAAACTTCATTCTCCTCATGAACTCTTCACACCTTCTCTTCTTCCATTCTAATTCTCCTAGCTCTCTCTCCCATCTCCCATGCTTCTAATATGCTTAGGAGGTCTTCTCCCTTTCTGATTCTTGGATGACAATATATGTCTCTCTTACACTACTCCTTGTTTCCCAGCTTCTCTTGCAGTTGGATTGTAGGCTTGTAATCCTTTGCTCTATGTCTATAATCCATAGAGTACATACGATGTTTGTCTTTTTGTGACTGGGTTACCTTGCTCAGAATAGTTTCTTCTAGTTCCATCCCTTGGCCTGTGAATTTCAAGATTCCATTGTTTGTTTGTTTGTTTGTTTTTGTTCCAACTGAGTAGCACTTCATTGTCTAAATGTACCACATTTTCTCTGGCTATTATTCAGTTAAGAGGCATATATCTAGATTGCTTCCAGAGTCTAGCTATTAAAAATAATGCTGCTATGAACAACATTGAACAAATATCCTTCTTGTATAATGTGTTTTCTTGGCTATATGCCTAAGAGTAGAATTGCTTGATCCTGTGAAGGCTGCTTTCCATTTTCTTGACCAATCACCATAATGATTTCAAAATTGGTTGTAAGAGTTGGTACTTCCACCAGCATTGGATGAGTGTCCCCCTTTCTCAACATCCTCTTCATCATAAATTGGCATTGATATTTTTGATTTTAGCCATTCTAACAGGAGTAAGATGGTATCTCAGAGTTGTTTTGATTTGAATTTCCCTGAATGACTAAGGATGTTGAACACTTTCTTATATGTCCTTCAACCATTTTAGATTACTCTATTGAGAATTCTCCATTTAGATCACTTCCCCCTATTTATAATTGGATTATTTGATATTTTGGAAAATAGCTTCTTAAGTTATTTGTAAATGTTGGAGATTAGCCCTCTGTCAGATGTTGTATTGGTGAATAACTTTTCCCAAGCTTCTCAGTTTCAGGAGGTTCCATTTATTAGTTTTCAATTTTAGTGTCTGAGCTAGAGGTGTAATGTTTCAGAAGATGTCTTCTGTACCAATTCGTTCAAGGGTACTTCCCTCTTTCTGTTATAAGAGGCTCAGTGTGGCTGGATTTATGTTGAGTTCTTTGATCCATTTGGACTTAAGCTTTGTGCATAGTGATAGATATGGAATTATCTATAGTCTGCTACATGCCAGCATCCAGTTTTTCAGCACCATTGGTTGAAGATGCTTTCTTTTTTTCCCATTGTATAGCTTTAGTTTCTTTGTAAAAAATCAGGTGTTTGTGGTTGTGTGGGTACATCTCAGGGTTTTCAATTCTATTCCATTGGTTTTCCTGTTGCTTTTTTGTGACAATACCAAGCTGTTTTCAGGACTCTAGCTTTATAATAGAGCTTGAAGTCAGCAATGGCTATGCCTCTGGATGTTCCTTTATTGTACATGGTTATTTTGGATATCCTGAGTCTTTTGTTTCTCTCTATAAATTTGAATATTATTCTTTCAAGGTTTGTGAAGAATTGTGAAGATTTTTTGTTGGGAATTGCATTGAATATGTGGATTGCTTTTGGTAAGATTGCCATTTTTACTGTGTTGATCCTACCTATCCAAGATCATGGGAGATCTTTTCACTTTCTGATATCTTCTTTAATTTCTTTCTTCAAAGACCCAAAGTTCTTGCTTTACAGGTCTTTCACTTGTTTGATTAGTCAAAAACTTTTCCTTAAAAATTCTATGAGGACCCCTTTTTTCCTCACTCTGTTACTTTCATTTGTAGAAATACAATAAGTAGTGCAAAACAATTGCAAAGACTACAGCCTTCTGACTATATTCATAGCCATCTGATAAGGAAAACTGGTAAAAAGATGCATTCTAGCACTCATCACTTTCTGTCTAGTATTTGCAACTACTCAAAGCAAATTCACAGTTAAATCTGTGTTTTTAAATGTTATCTTTTTCTATATGTAATGTTGACCTGGCAACCTAAATATACTCATAGATTAAATAGGTATTTCAATTATGCATTTTTGTTTCTTATATACATACTGTAGTTTCCTTACAATACTCTCAAGTTCTCTCTGAGTCTGTAAGAGAATATGCATTAACTTCCTCTACACTGCTCTTATTGTATTGTATTGTGGGTGAGGGACTGAGAGTTGAATAGCCTAGGCACTTGCTCAATTCTTGACATTTACATCCAGTAACCAGAATATAGAACTTAAAACAAGAGGAACATAGAGGGCCATATCATGTGTAGTGATGAAAAAACATAATGATCTATAGAGTCTATAGCCGTGTGGTCTCAGAGTTCTACATATTATGTTATTTTTTTTCTTTTACAATTATAATTTTACAGCCAGGTAGACATCTCAGTAAGCAACACGCTTAAATTTTTCATTGATGCGGTTTGATGTACAGAAGACTGGCGAGTGTTGTACTTTGCTGCACATAAATGTGGGTTACACAGGAAAAGCAGAAACACTGGTATTTGTGTATTTCTAAATATACTATGACATGTGTACTGGATTCTTTTGGCTGCATGCATTCTTATTGAACCTCTGTTTTGTTGTTTGATTGCATGAGACAAATCTTCAACTGCTCTGTAAGTTGCAGTAAAATGCAACTAAATTTATTTCATGCATTGGAGCAGAACATTGCAGTCTTGAACTTCCAACATTGGATGGCACAGAGGTAGCTTCAAAGCTGAGCTATCAGGGAGTCATTTCTACAGATGAAGGCCAGGCAAGTAGATGGGCACATGCTGACCCTGAGTAACTTACTGACAACTGTACCAACACCCATTTACTTGTTTGGATGTATGGCTTCAAAATGATCCATTCCCTTTTCAAACCTAGCACCTAGCCTAGAAGCTGACTAATAAGGTTCATTCTTTGGATTTGCACGAGCCTTAAGTTTGGCCAATGTAAGTTAATTAACATGAAGCTGCTTTTGCCTCCATTTTGGGGAATTAGAGTCTTTCTAAAAGCAGCTTTAGGTCTTATGTGATAATTTTAGCATTATGTATGAAATCTATTTGTAGGCAGAATTTTATTTCCAACCAGATAGCTCCCAAATAACCACATGAATACTAATTATTAATAGCAAATTCTCGGGCAATATCTCAGGCTGTTTAATATCTAACTTTTATATTTTAAGTTAAGCCACAATTCTTGTGGATGCTCTGCCACCATGATTGTTACCTTTTCTCAGTAAATTAAGGTCATCATTTTCCAGTTCTCAACACAGTGCCCGAACCTCTCCCTTGTCTGCTTTTCCCTCATAACTTAATCCTGCCCAGCTCTAAGCTGGTCAGCTCCTTTACCATACCTCTCAAAGTCACATATACTCACACAGTGTATATGAATTTCCAAAACTCAGTTCAATACTTTTTCACAGATTCATTATTTATGTTCTTTTAATTATATCCTGATGGAGACATAAAGCCTTACTTTACCAGATGCTTGACATGTTCATGATTAAAACCTACTCATGAAACTTTTGATATAAATATGTCTTATCTTTTTACTCAAAAATCTGTATTAAGTCCTTAAACATTTCACAAATAATTCAGGGAATTGCTTCTGAATATTCAAACCTAGTATTGAAGTTAACCACATGATCATGGAATTTGAAACAGAAGGGTCTGTGATTAATTTCATACCATAGGATTGTCCTTCATGAAAAACTGTGTAATTATAGGGGACAAATGTTAGAATTATCCATGAAAGTTTCAAAGCATATCAACAAATTAATTTTGCTACGTACTGACATGAGAATTGTAGAGAATTGTAGGGAATTATCAATAAATAATACATAAATATAACCTATTTGATACTAGATGTAAGTATATAGGTGACTGTAACCTGGAATGTGTCACTTAATCAACGGCAAAATTTTGTTCTAATTAAGATACTGTGAATAGCTTTTACCTGTTATAAGTATCTGTTGTTATTTTGGGCCCTAAAATGGCAGGCAGAACTCAGGTGGTTGTTGGAAAGACTTAGTGTTTCATATATGGTTTTCCTGGTAAATTGAAAATACGCATAGATGATCATAGGTAATTTCATTATAAATCCATTAAGTCCCTACATATGTACTATAGGTTCTTTGTTTTAGTCCCAAATTTACTTGAGTCTGAGACATAAATAAGAGCAGCTTACTCTATGCTATGCTTACTGCATTGCATATGTGGGGCTGTGACTTGAATGCCCTCGCACTTGCATATTTTCTGATATTTATTCAGAAAATATTCAAATAATTCAGAAGGTACATTTTAAAACTGGAGGAACACAGAGGACAATATATAAATAGTGATGGAGGAGGGCACTGTGACTTACATAGTGTTTAGCATTGTGACCCCTTTCTTCATTAATTATGTTACTTTTGTCTTTGAGGTTATACTGTGTAGAGCTAGCGAGACACCTCAGTCAGTAATACATTCATTTGGATATTTTTTGCTTGGGTTTAAAGTTTTAATAATAAATTGTCCCAGTCGAAACTTTCAAAGGCAATGATATATCAATAAATAATACGTAAATTGAGTTGCTGAGATACAACCAACCACATGAATCTATGTCAGAGTGCTGTAAATAACATGTCATACCTCAAAATATCTTGAGAATATGCCATTCATACACATGTAAACCAGGACACAGTAATATTTCTTATACATAGATAAATTTGTGTTTCTGCCTAGATACATACTAAGTAACAGATACATTATGCTAAGAACCTCAAGGAAAATATGTAGAATAGTATAATGAAAATGTGATGCATTCTATCTTTTCAAAAGCAAAATAAATTGAATTATTCCAATATAATTCACTTTAAATAAAAATACTGATTTGAAATACGCAGTATTTTTTGTTTATCTATAGTTATATATACACCTTTATCTCTAAAAAAATTATATGGCTTGTTTTTGTACTTCAAAACATGTTAGTAAATACTTAATTAGTAGTGTCCCCACTACCACTTTACACATACCAAGACTTAAAGCATAATGGGCTAGAGAAATTGACAATGTGCTATGATTATGTCCAATGTTTTGGCATAGCTGAATTAATCCTTTTGATGTGTTTTATATATGACAAAAGTTTACATTTGCCTCCCAAAGAACCCAGTCCTATACAAGACAATCTCATTAAAAAACAATAACAAACAAACAAAAAAACACACACTTCAGTGACACATATGCATTTCTTTAACAATAAGGGCTACAATCATCACCCACACAATACATTATCAGCACATTCTCTAGAATACTTCATTTTAAAAAAATTCACAGTATCTGCTGTGAACAACAAGAAATGGTAATTTTATAACTGAAAACTGCTCAGGCAGTGCCTTCAACACACTAGACACTGGAATCACCCATCATTTCTGTTCACTGTTTCTAGTATACAATAATGTGTGGAGGGGAAAAAGCATGAAAGCAGCTTTTAAACATTATGTCACAATTTTAAAATGTGGGAAAACTATAAAACAAAGCCACTGGGTAGATAAATGGTCTTCGTGACTTGGAGCAGAGCCAGGTGTTGTTCTCTTCCTTATTACATAGATGCCTTAGCACATGTTTGTTATTTCTTCTTACCTTTCTCTAAATGTGGACAAGTGCTACCAGATATAAAACACAAATGGAAGTAACAACACCATGATTTGTCAGTATTAATCCTTATAATTTATTAGGAAAAAATGTTTATCCATAAAATAAGTGCTTTTTCGATAGTGTACTAAATTTAAAAAAAAAGTGTTTTAATGCAGTGAACATTATAAAAGGACCAATTCAAAGTCATGGTGACTCTCCCTGTTGCCCATTAACCAGAACTAGAAATGAAGGATTCCTCAACTTGAGTTTGTCTTTTAAAAAATCTTGTTTGGGATTTTCTTGACAATGACCAGATTCTCAAGAGATGCTATCAACTGAGTCCACAGGCTGCTTACATGTACACTGGCTGGCATCTCTTAGCCATGCCCTCCAGTTCTGCATCCCTTGTGTCTGTGCTCTTGGCCGGCTCTGACATCTTCGGGCACCAGAAAGGGAAGCCATTGTCGTCAAAGAATCTGTGGAAGGTGAACTCTTAGACAGAGTGCTCTGGGTGCTCGCTGTTGGAGGATGCGGCAATGTCCCAGGCCTTAGCTCTCATCCCTCTGGCTGCCAGTGGCTTTCTTCATCCACCCAGTCAAAATTGGAGGCGTCCATGGAATGGCTGATGGTGGGGACATAGGGTACAGGCTGCTTCCTGGTGTCAAGGGTGAAGTCGATGGCGCTGAAGAACGGGTGTGCCTTGAGGTCCTCTGCCCCATTCCTTCCAGGCAGCTATCAGCCTCAGCACTCAGCTACACCTGTACCAGAATATGCAGCGTGTTCTCTAAGTTGATCACTTTCAGCTGGATTTCTGTGGCTGTAGGTGCCAAGAAATGTGGCTGTCCACCCAAGATCTCAAAAAGAATCCTATCGAACACTCCACCAGTCACAGAGCTGTGTGTACCCTTTGCAAGAAGCACCTCAGGCGCGATTTAATTTGATATTGCAATCAGAGAATGAGCCAGACACCTGTGGTGCTGCTTCTGGGCTCTCTGCTCCAGGGTTTTTGGTCTGTCTCCACAACGACAGTTGGAAACATCATCCCAGAGGTCAACAGGCTCCATGCTGTCCTTTCTGATGTGGTTCCATTTCTGGCAGCACTTGGAATTTTTGAGACCACCTAAATCCAGTGCAAGGGCCCTGTTACGCTGGAGGAGATGTCATGGCAATAGTTAGACGTTATTTGGATATTCAATATGTCAATGAGTACTAATTTTTAAAATGAGGCATACTGATCCTATAGCCTTCACCCAGCAGCTGGTGGAAGTAGGAGACACCCACAGCGGAACCTTAAACTGAACTGGAATCCAGTTGCAGAGAAAGAGGACTGATGAGCAAAGGGTCCAGACTACGCTGGTGAAACCCACAGAAACAGCTGACCTGAACAAAGGAGAGCTCTTGGTCTCCAAACTGACAGCTGAGAAACTAGTATGGGCCTTATCCAGGCCCCCTGAAGGTGGGAGTCAATGAAGAGATCTCAGAAATCTATGGGGCCCCTTGGAGTGGATCAGTACTTATCCCTAGCATAGGAATGGACTTTGGTAGCCCATGCCACATGGAGGGATATTCCCTGAACCTAGACACAAGGGGGTGAGCCTAGGCCTTATACCAAAGGATATGACAGACTCTGAAGATCCCCTAAGTAAGGCCTCACCATCCTTGGGGAGCAGAGAGGGTATTGCAAAGGTAGGGCACTAGTAATACAAGTATATTTTAATTTGAATGTGTATATTTAAAATCTCAAACTCCTATTTCAGATATATTTTATTGCCAACACAGAAAACATATAGAGATTTGAAATGCTGAAATAAAATATAGGGACTGATGGTGAGCACATTATCTATGGAAAAAGAAACTGGTGGGGTGGGGTTGGGAAGAAGGAGAGGGATCGGGAACTAGGATGGACTTGTAAAATATTGTTTTCTAATTCAAATAAAAAGTTATAAAAAATCACTACATTGAATTGGATATATTATTGCTAGACTGAGCAACTGGAGTGTACCCTGTCCTTGGATAGCATTAGGAGATCATGCATATCTAGCTGAGCAAGCATCCTAATATCTCAGTGTAGTCATAGGCATTGTGTTTGATATCTTCAACAAACTGGGAGGCTTTGGCAAAATTTATCCCAATGTAAAAACAAATACAGCAACCAGTTTCTTTTTCCATAGATAATGTACTCATCATCAGTCCCTATATTTTATCTCAGCATTTCAAATCTCTATATATTTTCTGTGATGGCAATAAAATATGTTGAAATTGGAGTTTGAGATTTTTAAATATACACATTCAAGTTAAAATATACTTATATTACTTCACCATTTTTTTCCTCCAAACTTGTCCATATTCCCCACCTATACTAGTTCTCCTTCAAATTCATGGACTCTGAATTCTTTTATTTAATTTGCTCAGTCTGAATAATGTAACATATTTCTCTATGAGTCAAGGGCTTATCACTTCTAGGTAACCTACTAGGAGCTCTTCCTTGGGAAGATTACTTGTTTAATGCATTCAGCATTCTGTAAATAATTGTAGTCTTTTGTCTTGGGTTGGATTGTGGTATGTTTATCTCTTTCCTTGTTAGCATATTGTAGTATTTATCCTTGGCCTAGCACTCACAGCTTCAGAAATGAACAAATGCACTTCTAAGCTATAGAAGCAAAGTTCTATTGTATTAGTGAATGTTACATTTAGAGAAAATATCCTTGTAAAAACAAAATTATTTTTATTTTGTATAAACCATGAGGAAGTTGTTCCTACCTTGAATGTAACTCTGTCAGCTATCTTAAGATGGCTATTAATTTCTTGGGGTTTTGGCCTTTTTTTGGTATAGGGTATCTCTTTGTAGCCTCAGGTATCCTGAAACTAGCACTTTTAGAGCAGGGTAGCTTTTTTAATTTTATTTTTTTATAATTTTATTATTTTAGTTCAAATTAGGAACAAGCTTGCTAAACATGTCAATCCCTACTCCCTCCCCTGGCCCCAGCCATTCCCCCAAACCTATGCCCCAATCACCCACCTACCCCCCACCCCATCAACCCTCCACTCACAGGGCAGGGTAGGGCCCTCGATGGGGCCCCTCAAAGTCCACCACATCATCCTGGGCCAGACCTAGGCCATCCCCCATGTGTCTAGGCCAAGAGTGCCTCCCTTCACATGAGATGGGCTCTCAAAGTCCCTTCTTATACCAGGGAAAATACTAATCCACTATCAGGGGCCCCTAGAGTGGGAAGGCCTCCTCATTGACATCCATTTTCAGGGCTCTGATTCAGTCATGTGCTGGCCTCCCAGACAGCAGTCAGGGGTCCATATGCTCCCCCCTTGTTCAGGCCAGCTGATTCTGTGGATTTCACCAGCCTGATACAAACCCCTTTGATCTTCATTCCTCCCTCTCTAAAACTAAGTTCCAGAATTCATGAAGTTCAGTGTATATCTGTGACTGCCTCTGTTTCAATCAGCCACCAGATGAGGGCTCTAGGATGCTTTTAACTCAGATAGATCCACCTGCCTCTGCCACTCTAGTGGTGGGTTTAAAGATTTGTGCCATCACTGCTCAGCTGCTTAGGCTAGTCTTTCAAACAAAATTCTGACTATTACTAAATATTTCATTGCTTCAGGTATTCCTACAATATAATGGGTCCTAATGTCACAAGATAAAAACAGGTTAATTGCTAACCTCTGCTTTTGTTTGCAATGCTTGCTTGCTCAGATGGCGGGGACACCAGCTGGGCATCTGCTATAAAAAGAAGACTTGCAGAGAGGATAGAGTTAATTTGGCTCCCAAAACTTATGAATTTGTGATGTTTGCCTTTAGCATTCTTGCCTAGCATTTGCCAAGGCCACACTAAAATCTAGTTTGGTCTGGACAGGGATTTTAGTAAGAATCTAATTTCAAAAACAAAGAAAAATGATGCATAATTCTATTCTGCAATATCAGGATATAAGAGAAGTGTGGCAAAAGAAAATTCTCTGAGTATACATGACTAGGTATTCTAGAATGACATATTCCATTCAAAAGAAAAACTTATCACGAAGCAGCTTGAAAAAAAAGTGCAGCAAATTTGATCACTATGCAAGCAAATTACATTTAGTTCAGTATTTGATATTCAATATCCCTGTTTCTTTGAGAAGAAAAGTGAGGGGAGAGAGATAGATGAGTCAGCGGCTCTGACGCAGATCTCCAAGGACTGCAGTCATTTGTTTCCATTCCACGGTTTGAGATCTCTCTCCTTATTGGTTCCTGATGCATCTCTAAATGTATTCCCTCCTCCCTAGCAGGCAATCTGATGTAATAAATATGTCTGCACAGGAGGATTTTTCCAGTCAGGGTCCTGGCTAATATCCAGCTCTTAGCTGGAATTAGTCAAACCCTGACTGGAAACAAATCCAGAGAAAGGAACCTGTCCCAGAGACCTACCTGAGACTGAGACAATCTAAACCCTGGATAGGCAGGGATTTGGTGGGATGTCCCATACTTCAGTGTTTAGTCACTCTCTCCTCTTTGCAGTGCAGGTAATGTGCTCATGTCTCAGAAGCCACTGTTTCTTATTTAATATCTGCTATTCCGTTGTAGTTTTGAATACTGCAGTATTTGCAAGGTAGATTTGCTTTTGAATCAGTATCTGACAGAAGCTTGTCTTGTGTTGATCATGTGGGCCACTGTAAGATACAATAAAAAATGACTATGTAGGGAAGAATTTTTACATGCCATCTAGAACTCTTTGTATTTCAAATATCAGCATCTCCAAATGAGAGACCTTAGAAAACGTTACAAGCCAGCCCAAATGGCTGCCCAAAATCACAGTCAGCAATCAGAAGGCAGGGAGTAAGGATTTCATTAGATAGTCTGCATATAGGCACAAAGAACTGGATAAGTTCACTCCTACTTACCCAAGGATGCTTTTCTCTTTTGTTTATTGTATTCAGTGCTTCGGATAAATAGTATTTGTCTCGTCATCCACTCTATTCAATGGTTTCTCCTGCTGCACACACGTTAAGTTGGGAGGGAGAAATGAGTCAGCAGCTCTGAAGGAGATCTCAAAGCTTTCCTCATTTTGTTTTCAATTGGTGGAATTGAGAACACTGTTCTTATTGGTTCAGAAGCCAAATGCCATTTGAATGCACACAGACTTTCAATGTGAGGTAAGGGGAGCTTACAGGTTGTCAGAATTGCATTCTATTACAAGACAGACTTTGGCTGCATTCTAGTTATTATTAGCCCCGGCATATAACAAAAACCCAACTGTGAATTGTCTAGGACAAAGGAAACTGTTCCTGACAAATGCAGAAAACACAGCCCATGAATATTAGCAATATCTGTTAGTGTTTGATTCGTTGTATTATAGCTCTGATTCATTGATTCTTTCTCCTGTAAATCAAGGAGATGCCTGTGCCTTGAACTACTGGTTATCTTTAAAAATGTTACATCACTCTCTGAGAGCTAAAGTGCTGAAATATCTGCAAAAAATAATAATCTTGAGACTTTAGTAAATCAAAAAGACTTGCAGAGTCCTATCTTTACTCCCCTCCTTATTGCAACACTTATGTCATTGTAAATTTATTCATGAAACTTACACATTGCTGTGTTCTATCCCAGATTTTGCCTGAATAACCGATGTGTGTTTATATCAATATGTTATTAGGAATCAGTTTATTTCTGTGTGCCTCTTGCAGAATGAAAGAAATTCATTTTGGATATATATCATCATTATAATCTCAGGTCCCTGACTATTAAGCAGCTTGTGGTTGTCCTTCCATCTCATGGTCATGATCGCAATCTCATAATTAATGATATTTTCTCAATTTTTGGCCACAGTGACAAATATATATCTTTAAATATATATATTTAAAGATCACTCACTATTTTCTCTTTTATGCCATATTAATCATGAGAGAAACCAGTTTCATTCCTGCTAACTTTTAAGCCCTTAACATGCTCATTAACCTTCCATTTTGTCTCCTGAATATTCTAAATGGAAGCAGATGGAATTATTTGCTATGATGACATAAGAATAAAGAAATATCAATAATAGATTCGTTCTCTCAAGATTGATGTTCTACTCATATTTTTAAAACCATGTCTGAATATCAAGTTTGTCCCCCTATGCATCCCTTTGGCCAAGAACAAAACAAAGTAAAAATATTAGTGCCATCTGAGTGAGAACACTCTCTTATCCCTTCACAGTATAAGTTGTCTAGTTTTCATTATATCACTCTAAATATACTATGATTCATTTCAAATAATTATATAAGTCCATATACATGTATATGTTTTGTTTTCTCATATAAATTATATGTAGTTATGTATGCATGTATATGCACGTTTAAATTTTGTGGGCATATCAGAATTTCTTGCATGCTAACTTTATTTGAATTACTTCATGCTTCTTTTTGTTTCCTCCTTCAATATGATAGCCTGAATAATAAATATTTCAATAAAAATAACTAAACATTCCAATGATTGTATTATCAATATATTAATATACAAATAACTAACCCAGACTCTATACAGATTTTTGTTAATATTTATAACAGATTTTACATTGATAGTTTGTAATTAAAAGGACTATAGAAATTATGCTTCAATAGAAACAGATTGTTTCTATTTTGCACGCAATATATGCCCTTGAATTTTCTGCTAATTGTTGGAATTGACAGGTGTTCCCATCTGATTTTGCATTACAATTTGTGGTGTTATTGTACTAACCTTTTTTGTGGTTTCTTTGCTTTCATTTTATATGTATCATTTTTCAAATTTCCAAAACTTTCTGTTTTTAATTCCCTATCCTTCATAAAAGACACTGTCTTCATGAAAAATACCCCCTTCCTTTGGATACCAACCAGTATGTGACCATTGCAGGCAATATTTTATGAGTCTATAAATAAAAATGTGGATTGATCAATTGGCCTTTACTGAAAAAATATAAGTTCTTGGCCATTTGGCCAATTGTTCTTTTTTTTGTCCACTATCAGTCTAGCAATGTGGGGGCAGTTAGATTTTATATTGAAAGTTTTTTCCTTCTGTCAATGATATAAGCCCTCATTGCCGGAAAAATAAAAAAATTCAGACATGTTTGGGTCACAACCAGTAACCCCATAAAAATGCCTAAAATTTAGTATGTTATTACATTGAAAGAAGCCACTAAAAACTTCAAATTTGCCTTGATGTTAAGTAGACTTCTTAGGTGCAGGTTTTGACACTGCCAAGCAGAATGTTTGTAAGTTTATTAGCTATTGAATAATTTCCAATATGTCTTCTGTATCATACTAGTGAATAGATATGATTAAATGAATTTATTTGTAGAGAAACCATGAAAGAACAATTTTATCCAATTCTGACGTCTTATGTACAGCAGAGCATTCTTCTTTTTGGATGTGTTTATGGGTTAAAAAACAGCAGAGTCACTTGTATGTGTATATTTTTAAGCACACTGTCTCCTCACTGCTATTATTTTCTGCCTGGAGTTTCCTCTTTTGAATATCTTTTTATTTATTTTTGATTGCAAGAGACAAATTTTCAACTGTTGTCTTAGTTGTAGTACATTTCAGCTCAGCTAATGCATGTGATGCAACATGGTAGTGTACTCTGAGTGTGAACTTCATGGCTGAGGTATCAGTGGTCCATGATTATAACCATAGCTATGGCAAATTGTTGTATGCCTGCTAATGCTGAATATCTTACTGATAACTTCTCATAATCCTCGGGGTACAGCTTGGTGGTAGGTCCTCATTTTTGTTGTTATTTCCCTTTTTTAAATTATTAATTCATATATTCCATTCCATGCCCAATTCACCACCATCCCCACCACCCACTGCCCCCATATCCCCACAGCCTTTCATCTCCACCTTAGAGAGCATAAGGCCTCCCCTAGGAAGTCTATAAAGTCTTTCCCATCATCTGGTAGATGCAAGACCAAGTCTCCTTTCCTGGTCTAGGCTGAGCAAGATTTCTTTTCATATAGAATGTGCTTCACTAAGTTATACTGTGCATTACTGTTAAATCTTAGACCCATTGCCAATAGCCTCATATAGTTCCCTAGCTGCAACAATATCTCGTATATTCATGAAGTCTAGTTCATCTTATGCAGGTTCCCAGATTTCGGAATAGTGATCTCTCAGTTGCTCTGGTCAGCTGATTGCGGTGGTTTTACCCATTACTGACTGAATCCTTTGTTCATATTATCTCCATTCCCTCACTGTTTGCACTCAAGAAATAGAAAACAAGTCTGTATACAGAGTGTGGTAACCCAGACTCAGAAAGACACTTATGGTACCTACTCATTCTTAAGTAGATACAAGTCATAAAGCATCAGCTGCCCAGCCTACATTCCTCAACACCCAAAAAGCTAGCAACTGTTCCAGAAATATGGAAGATGATGCAGAAACCCGCAACTAATCATTTTGTAGGGCTTATTAAAATAGTCATTCATTGTTTAATCTTTAACAAGCAGACAACTTTTCTCTGTAAAGCAACTTCACTTCCTCTGTATTCTCCTTATGACTCCTGTAATCCATGCTTCTTCCCAGCAACCACCCAGTTTAGTTCTCAAACTAACGCAACATGGCTACATCCAAGCAAGTTAGCTTCTTTATTAAACCCATAACAGTGACATATATTCACACAGTTTTAATGAATAATCCATTCTCTGCTATTTACTTTTTCACACATACCCCCTATTTAATACATTTTATCTATATGCTGCTCGGTACATAAGATTCTAGAGTGCCCATCTCTTTAAAACGTTTTATAATTAAAACATCATAATGAAATATTCAGAAATAATATTTTATATATTTTATGTATACATTAAGTCCAAAATATCTGTGTGTGTTTCTTACATATTTCACACATTAAACAGTGATTAACTTCACTTCTCAGGCCTATAATCTGAACCACACCTTCAACAACACAGAATGTGTACCTGCAGATGTGATGTTTAATTTCATATGACATGCTTATCGATGATCTACAGCTGCCTTAGTATACTGGAAAGAAATTTGGAAAACGGCATATGTATTTTGAATCATATAAACATGGTAAATATATTATGTACAATAAAGAGATTATAGGCATGATTATATTTTATGTGATAATGAATGGAAGAAGAGCAGTTGTCTGTGATATATAAGGTATCAATGAGTCAATTGCAAAGATTATTTGCAGAATAAGATGTTGTACTAAATTTTACTGAAGCACCAATGTTTAAAGTATATACATGAAATTCCTAAATACAGTTAGAAATCAGAATATATCTGCTTCTAAATTTAGGACTTGTATTCTCCAATAAGATATCAAACACCTTTTCTTTAAAAGTTCCCTTAATGCAATTTTACTTATACAAGCGGTTCCTCCCATTTGCTGACATGAAAAGAGCAGAGCAACACAATTTCAAAGAGAAAAAACTCAGTGACTCTGATTATTTAGATGAGATAAAGAAAACTTGCTAAAGGAAATAATCCAGTGACTATTATTTTCGCTCTCCTACTTGCAGTTACTCAAAGCACTCTCACAATTTCTTAACATAAAATTTTATTAGCCATTGCCTTTTGCTTTATACAGTGTTTGCCTTATAATAGGCACAGTTTAAACAGGGAACAGCATCATATATATATATATATATATATATATTTTATTTGAATTAAAAACAAGATTGTTTTACATGACAATCCCATTTCCTGCCTCCCTCCTATCCTCCCCTAACGCCTTCCCAACTAAAACCCTACCTATCACATATCCTTTCTGCTCCCCATGAATGGTGAGGCCTTCCATGGGTTGTCATCAGAGTCTAGTGTATCCTTTGGGATAGGGCCTAGGCCCACCCCCGTGTGTCTTGGCTCAGGTATTATTCCTCTATATGGAATGGGCTCCCAAAGTCCACACCTATGCCAGGGATAAATACTGGATTTCTATAGGAGGTCCTGAAGATTTCCGAGGTTTCCTTACAGAAACCCTTGTTCCTGGGGTCTGGATCATTTCCATGCTGGTATTCCAGCTATCAGACTGGGGACC